GCCCTGCAGAGCTTTGGGGCCGGGGAGGGGACGGCGCGGGGGCGGGGCCGGGCCGAAGAGGGCGCCGAAGTGGGCCCGCGGTCCAGCCAGGACCGCCTGAGTTGTCAAGGGGACGGTGGCGTAGGTAAGTGCTGACGTCAGCGGTGGCGCGCTGCCCGCATTGCGACACGGAGGTCGCTCTCCGAGCTGGGGTTACTGGCGGCTGGGATGGCTGTATGGCCCGCTGGCGCCCAGCCCGCCCCTCCTGGCGCGGAAGCCCCTTCGCACTGACCCGGTGTGGGCCACGGCGACACGGGCTGTCGGCCGCACTACGCTCCGCTCCCCGTGAGTACGCGGCAGGCGTGCTGGTGGCGGGGTCCCGGGCCTGGCACTGGGTCTGCCCGGCCTTCCCGGGGCGCAGCGGCGTGGGCGGCACTGCGCCATCGCAGGTTGACCTGCCAAGCGTCACTGAGCGGAGGGATGTGGTTTTTGGAAAACTCTTTGAGTACTTTTCCGTTCCCTTGCATTTGCTTTTCGGTACCGGAGAGAGTTCAGCGTGGTGTCCCGAGGGAGTGAATGCAATGTTTGCTTTTCCTACTCCGGATTCTGGTTTAAACGTTTTTAAAACAGATGGCGTAGTTAAGTGCGTTTATTTCCTTTTAGGATGTCAACCTGGTCCTGAATATTGAACCTGTGACTACCTTCTTGATTACATCCGAGAAAAGGTGATCGATGTGTTACATTTATAAGAGTGGAATTACATTAATAGAATCTTTTCGATACCTATAAAGTAGAAAAATATGTAGACTGTTTAGGAGTCCCCACCCAGTGGTTGTGCTGCGTTTCAGCATCACTGTGAAACATCTACAAACTGGAGTATATAGTTTTTCCTTTTTTTTTTCTTTTTGAAGAAAAGATGCTAGCAGTTTTTTCACCTGTTGCATTAATGATTGCTGTTATTGCTTGGGCTTTCAGGAAAACTATTGTGTATTATTAAGACTCTGGGAAATTAAAAAATATATGTGAAGTAAAATCAAATACGAAGTTTTTTAAAAACATATTTAGAATCTTGTTTGTTGATGGAGACTATCGTAGATTTATTAATCGAATTACATATACAGGGTTTTTTTCTCCCCATAGTATAAATTTTGGTTAAAGAGTGAATTATCCAAATCTCTGAGCTTTTTTTCTCTTGATCTTTAGTCATGTATTGGCTAATAAGAAGGTGATTACAGAAAAAGTAAAAAGAGATGAAATGTAATGCAGGTAATTTTCCTATTTAGTATCTCTTAACAGCGCCTATTGAAAGGGGTTATGAGGGAGAAGATTTTAAAATAATAGCATGTGTAAGGTTCAGGAATGTCGTTTTAAATCTGACTTTAATTATTGCCATTGATGTTACTAATCAAATATTGGTCATTAATTCTATAATGTATTTGCTGTAGTACACACATTAACATTTAGAGGTTTTTTCTGTTACATTTTGAAACTATTTTCTGTTACATTTTGCTATGTTAAATAATGTCTTTCAATTGCACATTAAAATATTAAATAGTAAATAACAAATACATAATTTACTTAATGTATTTTATCTATTACATACTTGTTTCTTTTTAATACTATAATAATGGACATAAGGTAATTTTGTTGATAACTTACAATGTGCCAATCACTCTGCTGATCCCTTTGCTTTTTAATATTTCCTTTTATCCTTATAATAAAATTTCCCAGGCAAAAATCAAAACACACACACAACAGAAAAACGAACTTTAGTGAAATTAAGTAGCAAGAAGGAGCATTAAGTGAGTGGCAAAACAAGAGCTTAAGCCTGAGTCTTTTTGACCCTAGAACCGTTCTTAGTGACATTACCCCTCTTTTTAAAATGGGAACACATAGACGAAGAGCATAGGCCTAACTATCCAAAAAGCTAGCAGTTTGATGAGGGTTATAGAACATTTTACCAGGGTGAAAATTTAGGGCTGAGCTAGAGGGAAGTATGAAGATCAAGGCACTGTGGAACATAGAGGAGAAGTATTTAACTGCCCCTCAAGTTTAGAGCAACTGCCTATGAAGGTTAGCGTGCTCCTCATAGAAGATACTAATTGCTTTTAATGTCAAAGAATAGACATTTGTTAGAGGAACAGGGAGGAAGGCCACTTTTCAGGAGAGAGAGGTACATATGTAATGGTACAAAAGCAAGGAGTTTTATGTGGTTAGAGCACAGAATGTGTGTGAAAGTGTAGCTGGAGCAATGGGAGATAAAGAAAGGCAAGGGATCATTTTACAAGTAGCCTTAGGCCCCAGTGGTAAGGACTTCATATTTTTTCCATTGGGTGATTGGGAACTACTGAAGAGTTTCAAACAAAGAAATGATGTCATATTTATATTTTAGAAAATTACTCCGGTTGCAGTGTAGAAGATGATTGATTTTTTAAAGGGTAGAGTGATGGAGGCATAGAAACAATCTTTAAAAAACTGCAAAATTCTTCCATATTCTTTTTGTCTCTCAAAGCTACTGCTTCATGTCACTGCCTTTGGGGATGGGGGAAGAGAGTTGGAAGCAGAATTGTGGAAACTATTGTGTTTCGTCTGTATGTTTCACCCATTTATTACTTCACCTGTGGCTGCCAGGTTTCTACCCCTCCATAAACAGCTTTTGCACATGTGACTTGCTGATTGCATATCCAGTGAATACTCTTCACAACTTGCAGCAGTTCTTGGTACCACATAATGTAGACTATGTCTTTCTTAAAACTCTTTTCCCTTGGTTATTTCTCCCACTTTAATACCTATCTCTCTGATGTCTTTTTATTTTATAGGCTCCCAGAGTTCTGTGTTTGGTGTTTTTTTGTTGTTGCAGCTATCACAAATATAAATGATTCCTAAAACTTCAGCCTAGATCTCCTTCCTGGATTACTATACAGGCATACCTCAGAGATATTGTGGGTTCAGTTCTAGACCACTACAATAAAGCAAGTATTGCAATAAAGTAAGTTGTATCTTTTTGTTGGTTGAGGATCTTGCCTTCAATTTGTAAAATAAACGCATTTGTGAATTATAATAAAGTGAAGTACAGTAAAACTGTTGCCTACCAAGCATAATCTGACTATGATATACACATGTATATAGTAATAATAGCCATCATTTTTGAAAGACTTGCCATGCCATGGGCATTGTGCAAAGTGTTTTACTTTCATGTTCTTATTTAATTTTTACAAAACCCTATTAGTCACTTACTATTATTTGAAAGATTAGGAAATTGAGGTCCACAGTGGTTAATCTATTGGCAGAGAGAACTGGGATTTTATTCTAGGCATCTGACAGTGGAGCCAGTGCTCGTAGCCGCTTAGTGCTCCTCAGTTACCCAGCTCAGCATGCCCACTGAGCTCACTGAGTGTCCCCATAAGAAGTATCTATTACAGTTGTAGCTAATGTTTATTGATGCTTGTTCTAAGGCACTGTTCTAAATCATTGAACCCTTCTAACACTTTCAATAGGCACTGTTGAACTGATTTTACCGATGAGCAAGCAGATTGCCTAAGGTCACACAAGTACCCACTAGAGACTAATTCTAGGACTTGGATTTCAAACTACTCCACTAGTTTTGTACTGCACTATATTCCAATTAATGATACTACCATCTAATTGTATGTGGTCTAATTATTCTAGTTCTAGAAACATGAGAATTATCCTTGATCTTTGTCCTGCCTCTTCAGTAGTTTAGTCTTTCTAAAATGTCATAAATGTCATAAATTTTTTGCTTAAGAAAAAACAGATTAAGCTGAATATAAGTAACCCTTTACATGATGACACAGTCATAGGTCAACTGTTTTCCTGTACATTGAATGACCATGGAATACTATGAATATTAAGTACTTTATATTTTTTCTACTTCTGTCTGTCAGGTTTCAGTTACCGATGTTATTTCACTTGCCTTTGCAGCTTCTCTCTTTTCTAATTTGGGATAAATTGTAAAGTAGAGGACCAGGATTATTAAATCTGTACTTAAAAGTAAATACAGGCTCTTATTACTCAAGTATAGAAGTTTTTACAATGTGGATTTAGTGATGTCTGTTTTATCTGTGCACTGAGTAGTTAGGTGTTTTTGTATAATTATTCTTTTTAGCATTTATTCTCAGACTTATATGTCCAAAGTACCCTAATATCAGCAGAAAATGAATATGGATCCCCAAGGATCTGGAGCCCTAACTGATAATTGCTGAGCCAACTTAAATTGTTTTCCCTTTCTTTTTAATATCTTCAGTTTTATTCTTAAAAAACGTATGCATGTCATATTCTGTTGCAGGATTAGTTTGTTTTGGACACACCTTCATCTTTAAATAAAATTGGCAGTTCAGGAATCTATATAGTGAGTTTATCCATGGTTTTGATACACAATAATACACATCCAGGTATTTATTTGAAAAAGATGGGGTAAATACTTGTGTTAACCTTCTCTATTGTAGCAGCATTTTCAGTGGCAGGCACAGAGATTTTTAAATTTGTCATCCGTGAGTGTCCTTCTCACAAGCACACTTCACTAATATAAGTGTATGCTCTTGGGAAAGTCAATCCTGAGATGGAATTTGGTTTCTTAAAAGTGTTTTCAAATGTTCTTTTTTATTTAAAACACTTGATAAAAAGTGTATGTAACATACCAAGTTGGATGTTTCCTGCCTTTCAAAATTAAAAAAAAAAAATGTTTCAAAATGTAAATATTTTGTTCAAATATGATTCATTTTGCTTCACTTTATTTCGGACTGTAAACTGATTCAAATGTATTCAAGTTATTTTTATATGATTGCAATAAGAGAAATTGATATAAACCTGAGGATGTCGTGGACAAAGAATGACATAATTTTGCCTGAAGAATATATTATAATTTTTTTGGAACTTCCATATTCCAAATAAATCTTCTTTGTTTTAATAGGATCCTGATTGTGTTAATGCTTTACATTACACCTCAGTGCTCCCCATAAAGCCGAGATATGCCCACTGGCAAGACTTTTATGAAATGTATGTATATAATATGTATTATTTATTTATTTTAAAGTTTGGATTGTTTTAAGGATACTTTAAGAGATTAATGAATTACTTATATGTCCTCAACCAAATATGTAGAGATTTTTAAGAGTTTGGTATTCATTTTTCTATTAGATGTTGGTAATTAAGGTTAGTATGCATTCAGTGAATGGCAGTTTGAGCCTCAGCTGGACAAAGTAATAATTACAGCATTTGGTTAGTTTTCATTATTATCAAAATAAATGTTTTACTCTAAGCAGAGGCAAACTTTTTCTTAAAAGGCAGGCTAGTAAATATTTTAAGCTTCGTCTGTACAATCTGAACTCTGCCATTGAAGCACAGAAGCAATTGTAACAGTTCTTAGAGTGGATATGGCTTTGTTTCAAGAAAACTTTATATAAACAGGTGACTGGCCTGTAGGCCTTCTTTGCCAACCCCTGCCCTGGGGCATTCATTTATTCATCCATTCAGCATTTATTTAATACTCTGAGTATTTAGTCTGTGACAGACCCCAGAATAGTAGCTAGAGATATAGTTACAAACTTCATAGTATAGCGGGAGCGACAGATGGTATATTTATTTATGTAGATATACAAATAAATATACAATTTCAAGTTGGGTCAAGTGTTGTGAAGGGAAAGAATAAGCTGTTATGTGAGAAACAGAGAAATTTAGATGAGGTGGTCAGGAAATGTTCTACTTTAGAGGCAGCATTTAAACAGGCAGCTTAACACCAGCCTGGTGAAGAGTTAAAGGAAACTTCTACCAGAGAGCTTAGAGGAGTCAGAGGAAGCTTCCACCAGGGAGAAGCAGCTTTACATGGGAAGGAGCTTGTTCTGACAGGATTGAGAGGAGCAGTAAGGCTAGCATGAATGTAGGGGTCTCGGGGGTAGTTGTCTTGATTTGAAGCTGTAGAGGCAGGCAGGCAGGCCAGAAGGTGAGAACTCTGCAGGTCATGGGAAGGTCTTGTTTTATTTTGTCCTAAGTGAAATGGGAAACTCCTAGGATCCTAAGTAAGAGAAAAACATGATCTGGTTTATGTTTTAAAGAAAAAACAACTTTCAATTTTTAATATTTGTTGAATGCTGATTATTGATTGACTAGGCAGGTATTAGCCGTTTTCCATGCAAAATGATCTTTGATATGGGATTCTGATTTTACAGATAAGGAAGACGAAGTTTAGAGATCTTAAGAAACTTGTTTCGGGTCATATAACAGTGGTAAATGCTACTGTGTATCATATGTAAAAATTTAATTTAACAAAGGAAACTTAGAGGGTGTAAACCAAAAGGTAAGAGGGATACAGGTGAGTGTGGTGTCATCAAAGCCAAAAGAAAAAATTTCCAAGAAGGAAGGACTGGTTAGTTCTAATGTAGCTGTAGAACTCATGCAGGTATTTATAAGACTATTTTGTTTAATGTAATAATAATGCAGATATGTATTATAATAGTTCTTTGGAAAATGACATGAATCTTTATCATTTGTAGTTGAGAGTGAAGCCAAAGTAAAAACCAAAGTTCGTTTTGAGGAATTGCTTAAGACTCACAATGATCTAATTCATGAAAGAAAGAAACTGAAGAAAAAAATTGGCAGATCGAAAGAAAATACCTCAGTGAGTAATTGATCATTTGGTAACGGTGACATATATCTGTATAAGATGATGACTTTTCATGTTAAAAGTCTAAGGAACTGTGGAAATTAAAAACAATAAATTTATGTCATGATAAGTATAACGTGGTAAAGTGAAGTTTACACTAGAATCAACATCACTCTTGGAATATTAAGTTCAGTCTTGAATGTCGTCCTGTAAGAATAACATAGACAAACTGGTGAGAGTCGCTAGTGGGTAATGGGGAAGTTCCAAACTAGCCATATTACACATTCTTGAAGAAAACAGAAATTTCTAACTCAGAAGAAAAACTCAGGAAGTAATAATTTAATTCAGATATTCAATGGCTTATACTTATTTAGACTTACTTATGCGATTCTACCCTGCATAACCAGGATAAATCAATGGAAACTTAAGGCAATAATTTTCTTTTTGTACTTGAGGTACACTTCAAACTGTAGAATTGTTGGTAGCACATTTGAAAGGATTAAAAATACAGCACTCAAAGCAATACAAAACAAATCAGCAATTATTTACTACATGATTCCCTGGGTACTATAAAGAATCTATAATAGTATCCACAATTAATGGACTATTCATTCTTCAAACCTATCTCACTATTTCAGTTGCACCTCTTACTTCTTTGACCATCATCTCTTACATATGTTCACACGCACATAACTTACTGCATGTACTGGAAGTATTGGTACATAGTATTTCTTTGGCAGGAGTTTTATGATAAGTTATAGACATCGTACATTTTACTTGTACCAAATGTTACCCTTTTCCGTATTTTACTGTGTAACCTGTTCATCTTCATTTCCTATCTGGTAGCCATCAGTGTACACTAACAGTGTATATTCTCAAATGAGGCAAAAATAAGTGCTAAAATTGGCTAAAAACCAGCTGCACACTTATGAGAGGGTCATAGTACATGAGTGTACTGCTGTACACCAATTTATAATTACTGACAGAATGGGGTGTGTTAGGTCTCATAGTGGTTGTCCTAAAATAAAATGTGCTTCTTTTGGGGGTACAGGTATACAGTGTGGTAGAGAATAGTGGGCGGGAATAGGGGTTACATGGAGGATGTAACATTGCATATTGGTACATCCCTTTCCCTTAGGTAAGGTCAAAAGCAGAAAGAATCATGGAAACAATTGTCTGCAGGATTTTTTTGTGGACTCAGTCAGTGTAGAACCTCATATTTTCTCTCATTGTCAGAACTTCGCATTTGCAGTTTAGGTCAGACATGCTAAATTAAGTAGATAACCAGGAAATGGGCAGATGATGTGTCCATTTACTTAAGGTCCAGTTTAGATGTTGGGGAGGGACAGGCAGTTGTGAGGCTACTAAGCATAACCTGCCTAGCCTATATTGGCAAACAGGCGATTCAAGGTGTCTTTTCATTCTGAGATAAGTACATGAGGAAAAAGTATTATGAAGAGATTTTTTTCCTAATGGAAAGAAGGGGAATATTCCTGGAGGACTTAGAAGAAAACATAATATCAGAGAATAGAAAAAGTTTAATAAAGGTGACAGGCATGGAAACCACAAAAGCCCTGAAAGATCTTAAAAATAAATTTTCAAAAGTACAGATTCATATGAAAAAAAACACTTGTGCATTTTATTAGTAGATACTTCAGAAGGCTTGTATTTTATGTGTACTGGTTCTTTCCAAGTTAATTTTTTAAGTTTAATCCAATCGTAATAGTTTCCAGTGGACTACTTCTTCAGTTGACAAAGTTAATAAAGAAGAATAAAAAAGGAAGATTAAAAGATTTCGAACAGAGAACGAGGGGAGTATAGCTTTTCCAGATGTTTCAAGAAGTTATAAATACAGTTCAAGAACTAATATTGATATTATTGCTTTTCTTTTTGAGGGGATAGGTCAGTTAGAGCCTTATTTTATCTCATGCACTCACATTTCACACATCTTAAATATAAAAGTCTAAATTAATAGACAAATACGTAAATAGAAAAATAGAAATGGCTGGTTTAATCTTCCAGTGTGGAAAGATAACCTGATCTTAAAAGGAATAAAAGACATTCCATGTAAAGAGAATATTCTTTGCCTGCACACAGAAGATTCCGTAAGTATTTATTGAATGAATGAATAAATCTGACATAGAAGATACTTTTTTTGAGTCAAAAATAAGTGCAACTAAAATTCAGCCAGTTCACTGAGAAAAATATATAAAATTTTTTATAGTCATAGTTAATACTCTTATATATAGCTAATAATAATAGTAATTGCTAACATTTTTTGAACACTTGTGATATCAAGAATCTTCTTAGAGTTTTACATTATTATCCTAGTAATCTTCAGAACAACCTTGTGAGTAAGTTCCATTACTATTGTTAACATGTAAATATAGAATAAATAAATACTGAAAGAGATTGGCATTAAATATTCAAAGTGATGAAAAACAAGAACTTACAACCAAGACTACCCAGAAAGGTTATCATTTAGAATCAAAGGAGAAATGAAGAGCTGCCCAGACAAGAAAAAACCAAAGGAGTTCATCACCACCAAGAAATGTTAAAGGATCTTCTTTAATAAGGAGGAAAAAAACAAATATGAATAATAAAATGACAATAACTATATAGCTATATATACTATAATAACCATTTTAAATGTATTAAATGCTCCAGTCAAAAGACATAGAGTAGTTACTAATGGAAGCCAAAAGTTTTCTTCCCTGTCTTCCAAGAATTATACAGGCCGTAAATGAAATGGAAATACCTTTTAATTTAAGGTTTAAGGGTGAAGTAGGGGTGGGACAAGGAACGAGATTTGCTTAGACCTTTATTGTATCTTGGGGACTTTTTTTGATGATGCTGAAACTTCAAAATTCTGTGTATTCAGATTCGATCTTGGCAAATCTTCAAAAGGAAAAAATAATTCAACTTTGTAGATAATAAATAGAAGGTTTGCTGTTTTGATCTAGTTGTTTCTAGTGGAGCAGTTTATGAATTATGCTCTATAAGATGCACATTTTTTCATTGTAACATAGAAATTATAAGTAATTTAGTAAAGTGCTACATTTTGATGCAACTTTCCTAGCCATTTTTAAAGACAAAACTAGGAATTGAGTACTTTGTGTATGATATGTTTCCATTTTCCCTTTCTC